ACACATGAAGGATGAAGACAAGCCCCAAATAGTTCACATATTTTTATGAAGTCTCTAATTTACCACAACAGATAATCCCAAATAACATGTTGGCAACAACCTACCAGAGCTTAAAAATAAAGCCCTGGAAGGGGCCAACTCCAACTGAATTTCCATGTTTTTCAAACATCAGGCAGCATGAATGGAAAAACCCGACTATCTGTATTTATGATATGAGGGCCCAGGTTCTGTTGGGCCAAATTTTTCTCCCCACTTAGGCTGTGTTTGTTTCCTTTGGCAGAGGAGGGGGGAGGATACAAGGCAACATTATCTTATGGCTCCCTGGATCTAAACCTTGGGAATATCACCATTTGATCCGGCAGGATTTGTTGTGCAAACAATTGTCAACTGTGCTGGTTCCCTCACTTGGGGATTTTCCTGAGCCAGGCAAACCAAGGGCCCCAATATTTCAGCTTTTATTTACATTTCAGGTCGCTCCTCCTTCAGCAAGACACCAAAATAATTGTGTTTTTAATGCCACTGAAAATGCAGACTAAGCAAAAATTATGACAGTATACATATTTTCAATCCCAGGCTTCAATTTTGCCTCATATCACGACAATGAATTAATATACTCCTTAATATAGGTCTTAGATACCAGATGTTGTTGCATGATAAGGGTTTTTAAAATACTGCTTGCTTACTTCAAAATATTCTCTGGAGAACAAAAAATATCTATGAAAAAGAAAAATTGCATACTGAATTTAACCTGAGCAATAAATGAAATTCTCTTATTCTTTCTTAGAAACCTAAAAAGGAATTTTCAAGCGTTTCACCATTTGGTTTTCAAGTCCATTTAATGCTCCTGAAACCGAATATTTTGGGTAAAAACCATTTAAACAAACAACAAATGCAGCTTTGGGCATGTCCAGCTCCCTCTGCCACGTCCCTCAGCTCCAACCCAATGAACCAATGATGGAAATTGCTCCACACTTTGTCCCTTAGTCATTCCCATGGGAAGGAGAGGAGGCAGAGGAGATTTTTGGGGATGGGAGCACCTGTCAAGCTGCAGATAAACCGAGCTGAGCAACCCAGCTCACAAAGGTCTATGAATAGCCCCTGATTCCTGCTCCCTGTGCCAGATCCAAACAACAACAGGGAGGTGGAGGGCTCAAAACACAGAGCCTGGGAGCCAAAGAGTTTAAAACAGGGCTTAGAAGTTGAAATTATCTATTTTTTACACCTCTTTCATGCCTTATTTTTATATATATATATATATACACACACACACACACGTGCATTTGTGTATGCAGCTAACCTCATTTGCATATGTACTCACATGCTTCATAACATCATAATTTAGGAGGTTTTGACAAATTTTTACCTCTATTTAAAAGCAGTGCAAAAGCCTGAACTCCTTTCCAGACGATTCATCAAGAAAAAAATAATAAAAAAAAAATTGGTATTGCTGTAATAAAGAACTGGGAGTTGGAGAGAGGAAAGGAGTCAGCACTTCTTCATTTCTTAACTGCTGCTTCTTGTTTTATTCCCACTTTGTTTAGCTCCAGCTCCAGGGATCAAATTAAGGCCTCTTGAAAGCTGTGTCCAAAATTTCAGCCTTGGTTCCCGGGCAGGCCTATTGGAGACTGATTATTGCACCTCATAGTTCCAAAAGGAAATGCAAAGAAAAGCCAAGGAGAGCCTTTCACACGTTCAAGGAACTCTTTAACAGAATAAGCAGGTCCTTAATGGCATTTAAAAAAAGAAAGAAACGGATCCTGTGCCTTTTTATTGTCGAAATCCAGGGTGATTTCCACGATCACAAAGTGATTTCCACTTCCACTGGGGCAGGATAGGAACAGACACCAACAACACAAAATTAAACCTGCCAAGGAGCCAGAAAGAACAAACAGAATTCCCTGCTTTCCCTGAAGTTTTACCAGGATTTTTGCAAAGGAAGCTCAGCCCCTTTCCAAATTTGAGTCCCTGGCCATTAAGGGATGAGATTCAAGTGCTTTGTGCACGTGGCCCCTTAAGCCCATGGAGACAGTGGGACATTAGTGGGGCTCCAGATGGGCACGAGGGGCCTCCCACCTGGCTGCTGCTTCCCAGGAGGAACATCCAGGATAAGCACTGGCTGCTGATCCAGAAAGCAACGCTGGAGTTATGGGACTGTATTCCAGCCACTCCTCTGCCACATGCGAGGACTAACAGGAGGAAAAACAAAAATAAATCTCCTGACAAGAGGGAATTAAATAACCCACTGAAAACCAAGGCATTCCACTTGGACTGTGACTTAGGCCAAGATCTCCAGGGCTTTTTAACAAGGGAGAAAGACTGATCCCTCCACAACCAAAGAACCCCAGGACTGCAAGAAAAGTTCCATTAGTCCAAGTATTGCATCATAAAGGTTCTCCTCAAACATCCTCCTGCCCAGTCCAAATAACACCAACACATTCACCCCCAAAAGGGAGGAAGGTGAGGCAGCAAACTCCAAGGAAACACTGCTAAAAGACAAACATAAGTCAGGCCTAAACAGCATTTTTAGAGGTCCTTGCTAATTCCAAACAATCTGCCCCAGAGTCCAACCAGGAATACAGGAAAATAATGATTAATTTTCTCTCAAAAGGTAAAGAACTGGAAAATCCACACGAAGTTTTCCTACAAGCAATTACCAGTTCTAAATCCCTACTGATAACAGCAGCAAAAAGAGCTTAAAAACCCAAATAAAAGGAAACTGTTGCCTTTGAGTGGTAGCTGTTGATGATTCACAGTCTGTCTTAGCACAGGTTGAGGGATTCAATTCCTTCAGTTCTTGGAAGGCTGTGACAGCAGCCAGAAGGCCCAAGTTAGCCTGAGACCCCTTTGTGGGTCCTGCAGAAATGCAGGAATTGCCTCCAACCCCACCCAGAATCCCAGTCCCACCCAATGGCCCCTTCAGAGGGACCTTCACTCCCCAATCCTCCCAAATCCACCTCTGTCCTTCCAGCACAAACTTGGCTGCAGGAGCTGGAGGCCTGTGGAAGCGAAGGTTTATCAGGAATTTTATCTCTAGGATTTAAAGTAAGGGAAGAGCCTGAATTATCCTGCCCGGCTTCGGAATCCTGCTGGTACTCTGGGAATTTTGCTGTGCAACCATACTAAACCAAACCCTACCTATTTGAGACTCTGAAACACAGAGAGGTTGTTAAATCCCTGTAAGAATTAAGGTATCTCATCACTGGAGGCCATGGAAGTTGGGGGCAGAGCTGCAGCTCCACGTTCACGGGGAGCACAATCCCAGAGCCACTCCAGGATTCCATGGGCAGATGAAAGGAGATCAATGGGATCTCAGGTTGAGAAAAGCAGCACTGTCACGAAATAAAAAAGGAAATTACATCCTTTACTCTTGGACAGGCTTTTGCTGCCTAAGTCCTGCCCACAGCAAACTGAAAAGGGAGTCACACATTCCAGTTATAAGGTTTTACACACGGGTCTGTGGAGTTTAACGACCATTATCGATGCTCTTTTCACGTTTAAACCCAAAATTAGTAGGAGCAGAAAGAAAACTCATGGCAAACTATTAGAAAGAACTAGGGCCCTGGCTGCTGCCTTCAGTTCTCCACCACAAATATCAACCCAACTCTGTTTTCCTCCCATCCTTCCCACCCCACCAAATCAAGGATTTTGCAAACTCTCCTCGCCCCGATCACAAAACTGCTGCTTCACACAAGACAGGAACGTACAAATTAGAAATGGGAGACACACCAGCACATCAGGAGAGCTCTTTCTTGTGGGCATCCTCCAGGGATGACACACACTCCCTGCTGACCACCACCGAACCGGGATGCCCCTCTGGAATACACACCCATGGCCTACTCCATGGCCCAGCATCCAGCACTTAATTGACCAAAAACAAACCAAAGCACTCAAACCGCCCTTCTGAAATTACAGAGGACGTAATTAAGCCCCAGGAATAAGCAGACAACAGCAATTTTAATATAAACATCCTACTTGTGGAGAGGACTCCGATTCCAACTTGGCCTTAATGTCCCAACTCTTACTCCTGGATCCTCGCAAAGGCCTCTCCCAACATTTCCTCGAGCCCAGAACTGAGTTTGACATTTAAACCCACCGCATTTTTAACCTATTTCAGACATTTTGACACGCAACCAGCAGAAAACATGGTCAGGTCAGACCACCGGTGGTACCTGATGGAGACATTTGGCCTTCCCAGCCAGCAAAGCCACGGAAAAACAAGATCCCGACATATATATTTGAACAAATCATTGCCCAAATATAGCCGGGCACCGGAGGCAAACCAGGGGCTGCCACCAACCACCCCCCGACCCCGCAAACACCGAGCCCAGCCCCTGGGCTGCCTATCCCTGGAAGTTCAGCTGCGGGAGAGGGTCTTTGTACAAGTGGTCTTTGTACCTTAATAACTCAAACAATAAGTCAAACAACGGCCTGAGGCCCGGG